TTATTTTCTCACTAAAAGACATTATCAAGCCCTTTCGTTTTTGAGGGAAGTTCTAAATTAGTATTATCTTTCATGTATTTCATCTTTCACGTATTCCCCCTCCCCTTCCCTTCTTCCTTTTTATGCCTCCGCCACCGAAGGTGGTGCCGGAGGCATCATGTTTTCGGTTTGTCCGTCCGTACGTCCGTCCGTACGTACGTCCGTCCGTCGTCCCGTTTGACCGTTATCACAATATCTCAAGAACCATTTAAGATTTAAACTTAAGACTCGGGAATAGTATTTATCACCATAGGAAGACGATCTGATTAGATTTTGGAGTACGTAGGTCAAAGGTCACAGGTCACAGAGGTCAACTTATGAAATTCCTTGTATTGAGTTTGTTAGCGCGATATCTCAAAAACCATTTGAGATTTAAACTTCAAACTTAAGGATAGTATGTATCACCATAGGAAGACGATCTGATTAGATTTTGGAGCACGTATGTCAAGGGTCAAGGGTCACAGAGGTCAACTTATGAAATCCATACATTGAGATTGTTATCATGATATCTCAAGAACCACTGGAGATTTAAACTTCAAACTTAGTGATAGTGTGTATCACTATAGGAAAACAATCTGATTACATTTTGGGTCACGAGGTCAAAGGTCAAAGGTCACAGGGCTCATTATGTATGCAAAAACAGCTTGTGATCGCGTTATCTGAACAACCGATTGATGGATTCCTGCCAAACTTTGGTCATGTATGTATCTTGCAGAGCTGATGAACTGATTAGATTTTGGGGTCATGAGGTAAAGGTCAAGGTCATGCGGCTCATTATGTATGCAAAAATAGCTTGTGATCGTATTATCATTAGAACAGATTGATGGATTCCTGCCAAACTTAGATCATTTATGTATCTTGCAGAGCCAATGAATGGTTCATAAGATCAAAGGTCATGGGCTCATTATGTATGCAAAAATAGCTTGTGGACGCATTCTCATTAGAACTGACAGATGGATTACTATTTAACTCAGGAAATCTTGCAGAGCCAATGAACTGAGTAGATTTTAGGGTCATGAGGTCAAAGATCAAAGGGTCATATATGTATATGAGAAATTGCTTGTAATCACGATATTCTGAGAACATGTTAATGGATTACAATTGAACTTGAATTTGAAAAATTTCTTCCGTTTCGGTTTGTAAAATTGCTCTATGACGGAGGCATCATTTTCGACTGCGCGCAGTCGAATTCCATCTAGTTTCCCCCTTCTTTTGTATTGGTGTACCTTTAACAAAAATAAATCCGTCTCTTTTGCCGTAGCATTTAATTAATGGAAAATGTGCATCAAATGACATTAAATGTTTGTCTTTCTTTTATAATGTCTACATATACCTTTGAAAGACTTCATTAAACATTAAAATAATTGCTATTTGACAAACAACGTGTGATGTACTACTTCTTTACATTTTACGGAACATTCTTAACTTTTCATTTGAATATAATTATTGTGAAAGTTGTCAAATAAATTCAGAATTTTACATTTACCACCACAGGAGTAGTCAACTACCTTAGCTGGATGAAGTACGTCCCCTTCAGCGGCTACCACGCCTTGGGGGACTGTGTGCGACATCTTGAGAACGGTCTCTTCACCAAAGAATGCGAGGAGCACCAGAAGGTCTTCGACCCAACCGCAGCCCCAGAGATCTCATCGAGGCATTCCTCCTGGAGTTGCATAAGAAACAACAGGAGAAGGTGGAAAATAATGGTGAAGATATGGCACCAACGGGTTTCAACCATCAGCAGATGCTGCATTTCATCGCTGACGTCTTTGCAGCGGGTACTGATACGACAGGTGCGTTTCGTGCTACTGTAGAATGCGTTTAGTTTGTTTGTAGTGCTCCTGTAGGATGTGTGTTAGGGATGATGCTGATGATGATGATACTGCTGATGACGTCGATGGTGATGATGATAATGCTGTTGATGGTATCATATTATGATATTTCGTAGGCTTTTTACATGTGACTTGGTTAGAGGCCGAGGACAAGGCCATTAAAATGGGACTCGAGGCTAGACGCGACTACGTGGCCCCGTTGTATAAAACTTACCATTGATGGTAACTTTGCCATCAATGGCAACCACCATGGTAACAGGGCCCAACGGCCAATCAAAATCAAGGTTTCTATGGTAGTTACCATTGATGGTATTAAGTTTTGTGCAGCGGGCCCCTGGTCTTTGTTTACCCCTCCCCCATGTCGGTGATGATAAAAGATATTACGAGGAATATTATTGTGACAAAGATGATGATCTAGGGGATGAGTTGCCAAATAATGGGCATTGTGACGAGTATACCGAAGACGATGATAATGATTACAGTGGTGAAAATACGGTGATGATTATTAGGCAAGAAGGTTAAAGCCTGGAAGAAGAAATGTTTAAGGAATAGAAGAGGAAGGAAAAGGGACGAAAACTCACGAAGATGAGAAACAAACAAAAAAGAGAAAAGAATAGATTGACGATGGGGTTGAAGATATGGAGATGTAGAAGAAGGAGGACAGAAGAGAGGAAGAAGAAGAAGAAGAAGAAGAAGAAGAAGAAGAAGAAGGATACAAATAATATGATAATATTTGTTGTTATTAGCACTTCGGTTATTTGACCTCTCCCGGAGTTTTGTTTTTAATTTCTATTACATTTAATTAAATTGCACAATAGACCGCTCCTTATATAAGGGAATCTGCAAATTACAATTACTTTTTAGTAGATTCCCTCATTTATCACTGCGAATCCTGTCTAATTTATTTACATTTATATCTCGGTATGTTGCTTCTCCGTTATTACTTTCATGGCTTGATATCATTGTATGTACTTTTATACCTATTGAACTGGAAACCGAAACCGAGGGGAGGGAGAAAATATACGTTGATGAGGAATTACAATGACTCGGACACGGAAGTAGATGCAGAATAACAATAAACATAACTGTTCGGATGACATTTGGTTTATATGTTTATCATTCATTATGTCAACTCTCCTTTCTACATTACAGCTTCAACCCTGAAGTGGTCACTCATTCATTTGATGAAGTTTGAGGATGAGCAGCGGAAGATACAAGAAGAGCTTGATCACGTGATAGGACGGGACAGAATGCCATCTCTCGAGGACAAACCAAACCTACCTTACACTCAAGCCTTCTTAGCGGAGAGCTTGCGATACGGTTGCGCAGGCCCTCTAGGTAATACACGTTTTACACTTGAATTTGAAGGGAGATGTTAGTCAGTTTCCGTGTGCAGTAGGTCATAATCCGCTTACACCAGACTAAGTGGAAATACCATAAATGGGTGTACAACTCTCGCACACACCAAACCCGTGGTCCCAGCAAGAAATACTCCCTAGCCTCTCAGAGAGTCCTCGGGTGAGGGAAACGTAAGCTCATGACTTTTCCATATCAGGCGATAGGTGGAAAATGCAGAACATTACATAAGACCTGTTGGTCATAAAACTGAAGGTTTATCCTGGTGATTGGCAATACCTGTTATTGAGTAAACACGCGAATGATGTCGCATTCCCCATGAGAACCCACTACTATGCGTCTCTAAATGCATATTGCAAACGAGACGTCATTTCACTTGCGTTATTACATGCGCTGTACAGGAAATCAGCGCAAGACAGCGTTTCAAACATTCATTTTTCATTAACATTTTTGAAAGAGATCACTTTCACATGACGCGTCTAAGTCTGCGTCAGGCGCTGACGAAGTATTACGTCACACAATGGACGCATCGAGTGAAACAGGCAAAGTAATCACTCCCGCTACCGTTTTGTCGATGATGACGCTTAATTGAAAAACTGATTAAGTGATGGTTCATTTACAGTAACAATCCTGCAGGTCAAACTTTATTAACTAGGGTTTAGGGAAAAAATAAATCAAAATTGACATTCGACATTAAAGAAAAGGCTGCCAATCGCAGTAGATTAGAGGTTTACCAACAGTTATCAATGCATACTCCCGGCTCAATTCCCGGCTGCTATTGGCTCAAGCTTCCTTGCTTATGATAGTTGGCCTCTGCATTTATCTTGATTATTTTTACTTACCTCCATACTTTCAAGCTTTTAATTATGCATTTTTTAAATATTTTATTTTGTGTGTATTAAGTTGTCACTCTTGATATAAATCAATTATATTATATACTATTATTGTTATTTGAATGTTTTATATTTGATTTATCAATAAATGCAGAAACATCTGCTAAAAAAAAAGAAAAATACTGACTCGAACAAGATGCCGCCCAAAAGAGGGCGAAAACCAACTTTTGAATATACGTTTAATATTAAAAACAATCCATCGCAGAGGGCGACATAACACTAGGGCGCTTACTTGAGAATGGGCGCGATCTTTTTGCTTTGGAAATTACTGGAACGACACATAATTACCGACACGTATTAAGCAAAAGTTTATTGAAAGGAAACTTTAACGAAGACAAGTTCGGAGAACGGAGCATTGAATTCCTTCTGTTTTCCATATCCCTTATTCACAAATAATCTTTTCACTTTATAAATAATGTTACCATGCGAAATATTAAATCTTAGTAGAATAAAGTGATGCTGTACGATGTATTGACTCACCCCCTCCACAGTCATGTAAAAGCTTTGCTATTCAATAGGCCCGACTTGTATTACAATGCATTTGGGGCGCTTTTGTCCGAAATTCGGTTTAATCTGAGGTTTAATTCTAGCTATTGTTAAATATAACTTTAGATCCCGGGTTGGATTTATCTGAATTATTATATTAAAGTCCTTACAGTGTAAAACGAATCTGTTGTTCGGAATTATCTTGAGAAGGAAAAAAAAGGAGAATATATGACAAAGATGTTTTTCATGTAATAATGAGTAGGAGAGGGGATAGTAGATTTCCCTGTGGAAAGTCGTAATCGCTCTATTCCTTCTATCTCCCAGGTGTTCCTCACGGAGCGAAGGAGGACACGAAGCTCCGCGGCTACGACATTCCCAAGGGGACCGTGATCGTCGCGAACCTCTATGCTGTGCTTTACGACCCAAAGGTATTTCCTGAACCAGACAAGTTCAATCCATCACGATTCATCGATGACGAAGGCAGAGTAAAGACGTCGCTGATTGAAAGGGCACATTCTCAATTTGGAATAGGTAAATTATCAAAGTGCCATTTTCATAATGATATCAAATTCTAATGCATACGTCTTTCTAGAGTGTCTTGTTTCATTCACCAACGAATAATTGTTGTTAACATGTACAGTACATGTATTTCAATAGTCATAATGCAAATTGCCTAAATACGTGTTTGTGCTACCTAGCAATCAACTCATGTATGCAAGTTAGGCTGAATATATTCTCGCAAGACGCTGGTATAATTGATTTTACCCCTATTACTCTTCCCCTGATTGTTTTGTTATTTATATTTTTCTTCTTCGATTGTTTTATCATTGTAATAATAGTAATAATAATAATAATAATAGCCTAAAAGTCTACTCCAAATTTTATTAAACCGAAACGGAAATTCTTTTTGCCCAATTGATCGTGAGCCCGGCAGCCCCTGAGCAGCGCCAGATCGACGTTGCTCTATCCCTTATTGTTGAACGCCAAACAAGGTAACAACAACTCCCATCTTTTAACGTCTTTTGGTATGACGCGGCGGGGGTTCGAACCCACGACATCCCGGTTGTGAGGCGGACGCTCTACTGACCGAGCCAACACTCCGGTGAACAGTGTACGTTTTTAAAATGTACCAATCACCCAAAATATGTTTTTCCTTTATCTAAGGGGCACCATTTGGCTATACTGTTTTCAAAATATGAGCTTAAAAAATAAATGAATTCTCAGGGACAATTTCAATTTTAATTTTTTCATGCTCCAACAAAACATTACAAATCAATTATAAGCATTTAAAACAAATTTAAAAAATACATGTTGGAAACAGAGGGATCACTAAAAAGCAATGCTTGTATAAGTGTGAACACTTCAAATGATAATTAAGAATAATGAGTAATTGAATTGACTAATCCGTAACTACAAAAGGAACTACAAAATAGGGGAAAGAAAAAGGGGGATGCCAACAGAGACAAGAAAGGAACAAGACAATGCTTTACATTTCAAAGATAGAAAACACAAAGAGTAGACAATGACAAAAAGAAGTGAGAGATCGGGGGTACAGAAAATAATACAAATTGATGAGCTGCATGTGGGGTTGAGAAGAAGATGAGGAAAGAAAAGTGCGCACTAGAAAGGAAATAAGCATGCGAAGGCACAATATAATATATCAAATTACATTTTGAGTCAGCGAGTGGAGAATGATCTTGTATTCAAGTAAAACACAGACAACGACATATACTTGAATTAGGTTTATATGATTGTAATACAAACAATACCAATTTTTTTCCTTAAAAGTATTAATCGATGGAGCATTTTTGATTTCATTACTTAAAGAATTTCAAAACCTTGGACCTTCATATATAAATTTTGTTTGAGCTAAGAGGGTCCGCAAGAGAGGTAATTGAAAATCGTCCGAATGTCTTGTTGAGTAGAATAGTTAAAGCAGGGTTCCCACTTAGCCGAGTTGAAGCCTCGAGTTGTGGCGAGCTGGCGCGAGCTTATGGCAAGCCGTTTGATCATTAAAACATATTTCTTGATATCAAGAATTCAATTCTTGATATCACGAAATCGAATTCTTGATATCACGAATTCAATTCTTGATATCAAGAATTACCATTGCTTTACAACGCAAAATTATTTTTTGATATACAGAACTGATTTCTTGATATCAAGAATTGATTTCTTGATATCAAGAATTGAATTCTTGATATCAAGAAATATGTTTTAATGATAAAACGGCTTGCCATAAGCTCACGCCAGCTCGCCACAACTCGAGGCTCCAACTCGGCTAAGTGGGAACCCTACGCACACGCACGCACTCACACAGAATATGTCCGACTTGGGTTCCGTGCGAGCCTTATACGAGTTTAAATAAAATGTTATATCATCCTTTATTTTCTTCATACTCCATCGTTTTCCTGTAGAATGCCAGGTAAAATGTTTTGAGGTTGCCTTTTGTATACATTCTAGGTATACACAAATGATTTTTTCAGGTTATTTGTCCCTTTAAGTGTCTTTCTTTTTTATTTGTAGTCATGGGCATGTGTTTTCTGTTTTATTACCCAGGCCGACGACAATGCGTTGGCATGGACATGGCTCTTATGGAACGCTTTGTCTTTATCACAAACCTCATTCATCGCTTCAACGCAAGGGCACCAAACGGACCCGACTCCGTCACCATTGACGCAAGGGGTGGACTGGCCTTTGTGCCCATGCCATTTGAGATGCAGCTGACGGAGCGATAGCCTGCCTGATCAACAGTATTTCTTTCCTTTCAAAGCGCACGCTGCATTTAAAAAAAAAGCTGAGGCCAAGTAGAAATGACAGCATACGCTATTCATTCAAACAATGTTTGCACAAATTTACGTTTTGTATGATGTCACCCACATGTGGCGCGTCAATGACTGCACTATCAGCATCATCAGGTCCATTGTAAACGAAGCGTTGTTTCTATTACGCCATTTGAACACGGACATTCAACCACACAAAAACGTCGTACATTAAGAACTAGGCTATTCATCCACGAAAAAACAGGTAAAGCAATCTAAACAAACCAATTAGTGCGTACAGACCATCAATGTTTGCAAACCGTGCAAAGCCGCCATTTTCAGAGCCCAATCTTATAAACAGTTGCGATTAATCACAATTTACAAACGATATAGAAGACTGCAAACTTGCGTTCGATTATAGGAATTGAGGTTAATTAGGATCAATCGCAACTCGTTATAAGACGGGGCCATGGAGGGGTCTGTTTCTGATAGTTTACTTTGACATCAGTTTTGCTGAACACTAATCAATTGGCGCCCTCTGGCTGAAAAGTCGGAAAGGACACGTTGTGTAAAATGGAGTTTCATGTCATATTTAGGCCTTCTTAATGAAAGATGCTCATTCAGTAGAAAACGTTTAAAAACACCTAAAACACATGATTATATCACTTTTGCTTTGCTTTTCAGCTTTAGGTCTTACTGATATATTTAGTTGTATATTTTGTATTTATGTTGTTATATTTGTCATTAGTTATGTGCCATTTGCAATTGCTATATTGATACCAACATTTGTGTTGGGTGTGAGTATGTTTTTATTCTGCAAACCAATCTCTTGTATTTGTAATTTTTAACTTTTCCGAAGAGCTTTGTATCTGCCTTAAGAAAAGGCGCTATAGAAATGCTTATTATCATTATTATTGTAAATGTCATTGTTATCAGCAGTAGTAGTAGTAGTTATAGTTGCAGTATCATCATCATGAAAATCATTATCATGATTATGGTTAGTTTAGTAAGATTAAAATATGTCATGTTTTTTTTTACCCACTTGTATAATGGCATCGTCAAGTAGAACATATTTTATACTTCTCTTTCACCGTGTCACAGAATCATCGCTTAGTAAATACCATTTGTCATCGCAATTTTGCAAAATTCGTTGTTGTCTTTTTAGTAAATACTGAAGTCTAATAGGACAAAATTTATCTGCGAACGAGAAACATTCTGACCTTTTTTCAATACTCTTCTAAAAGGAAAAAATAGTCAGTTTGTATGTTAATGCAAAATGAAAAGCAAGTCTAGCTAGCATAGTGATTCCTAGAATACTTGAAGTTATAACTAATACCTTGTTCAGAACAACGCTCTTAGATTCAATACCTCAGCTAGTGTTTCACGACGAACGCCCTCTCCTTGCTATAGGCTTTATCTGTATCATTATCACTAACCTTTCACCTATTCAACTTTATACCCATGGGCTTTTAGTTCTGCATCACTGTTTTATTTGTTTTCTAACTTTTCCGTACAAGTCACACTCGATTAGCAATGCATAATAATGTTTGTTTTTTCCTTGATGAAAATTTTTATATGATGATGATAAAATAAAACTTGAACTGTGAAGTTTGAACCGGCCTGTTAATACTGTTATCAATTAAGTGTTACATTTAGAAGAAAACAAACAAATCATAAAACTGTACTTCACCATTTGTGTATGGGGGATGCTGGGAAAAAGATAATGGAGAAGGATTAGAAGAAGAGGAAAAAGAAAAACAAAGAAGAAAGGGAAGAAGAATATTAAAGAGGACTTTTTATTCTGCAATTTGGCGAGAAGATTCTAAATGCCAAAAGTTATGCAAACGGGTAGTTCAAAAATTTCGACGAGGTAGGGTTAGGGTAGTATATACATGGGCGTAAAATCCTTACGTAATACCTGTTGTTCAGGGGGGATGAATGAATAGATCACCCCCCCCCCCCTGAACAATAGGTATCAATTGTAGATTTACGTCCATGAGTATACACGTTAAGCTGGATGCACGTGCCACTAAATGAATGTAGCTTGAGGGGAATTCACAAAATGACATTATACCTCTGAAATATTCGAGTACGATACTATAGAAAGGAAAGGAAATCAATGAAAAATAAGAAGAGGAGAAACATAATGAACGAACATCGACTATTCTATAAAGCATTATCGAACGAATAGCGATTATTTCATTTTGTCTGAGCACTGCCGACAGGGGGCCCAGCGCTACTTTGTGATATAGGCAATTGTTCGATCCATACACTCACACAGAAGCCCCCCCCCCCCTCCATCCACACACACAGACGCCCCTCCTCATACACAGACATATACAAGGGTAATGTATGAAAGACGCAGCAGTTTAAGCACACAATATTTTAACTTTAATAATAGCTACCTGTGTTTTGGGGGGACAAATATCAATTTGCAAGAGCGAAGGCGAATGTATTTTTTCCTTAACACTTCGGTTGCTTTATTGGCCCCGCTCATTTGCCAGAAGTGCATTTTTTCACTAAACAATATATAGGCACCAGTTGAGGAGAGGATTGCTTTACCAAATTACTCATTTTCGGTTTTGAAAAGCCTCATGATAGGTCCTTAACACTGGGGTGGTATTCTGAACATTGTTGTAAGTTTTGTGTTATCTTTTGTTGTATCTTCCAGAGATAACACAGCGCTAATATTGTTGTAAGTTGGTATTCTGAACATCATTTTATCCCTGTGTTATCTCTTGAAGGACCGCCTCTATCTTATCTTTGACCACTGTTGACACGCCCTTTTGTATGGACCCTACCAATCAAAATCTGTTTTATATAAGCATGATAAGTAGGCCAACCAATAGGAATACTTTATGCCATATCTGAAGATGCACCTAGCGCATACTAATCTTGGGCGTAACTAGTTATTTGAGCGCTTATTACGCGCGTCATCATTATACGCTGTTGAATGTGGATCATGAAGACAAGTCACGCTTTCACTATATTGGTTAAGATGAGAGCATTAAAATCGTCATATCCTAGCATTTAATTTCTTAGAAAGTTCTCATCTGTGAAGTTTCCGGTCAACACAAAATCTTCTTCTAAGTCGTCTATTGACACGAAGTCGGTTCTGGGCAAGAAATATTGCCGCCATTATGTCACCACGAAAGATACAACAACCCCCTACCTGTTGTAAATATTGTTGTAAATACCATGCAAGATAAGATAAGATAAAAGATACAACAACTTTCAGAATACCAATTATCTCGACATATTATCTCTCGTGCGCATATGTAAATGAGGATTAAACGCCACTTTATTAATAATACGCACACTTACAAGCGCACCAAACTATGAGCGCAGGCGCGGCCAATGAGATGAGAGAAAAGATACAACAAAAGATAACACAAAACTTACAACAGTGTTCAGAATACCAACTTTATCTTATCTCCAAAGATACAACAGTATTAATAGAGATAACACAGGGTTCAGAATACCGCCCCTGGTATGTATCAATGTTGCACTGGAAGCAGTTACACAATATTGAAGCCTTTGTGATTTCAATCTCATGATACATACAATGTGGCAGATGGAGAATATCTGTGTGACATATAAAGAGTTATTGAATGATTTGACAAGAGATGAATTTAATTGTGTTGATCTTCATTATGAAAAACTCGTGTGATGACGAAACATTATTATATTAATAACATCATAACATGAAGTGTCCTTTCACATATTATCATGCAGGAAAACAAATTAAATACACATAGTTGCAATATGATGATGAAAACAGAAGCTTTAATGATGTTCATATAATATTGTCTACATACAAAATAAAACGGTAAGGAGGTTTGTGACCAAGAGAACGACAACATTAAAAGTTGTCGAATTGAAACGAAACAGAACATGCTAAAAATTAATCTATACTTGACTTAAGATTTAAGTGCGTAATCAATTACCATATCCTTTCCTAAACAATTATTATAATATATAGTTTCCAGACAAATATCTGTTCATATACTGTTAACATTTTTTCATCGATTAAAGAGTTAAACAAAACAAATCATTGACAATGGTAGAGTATTAAATTACAGTAAAAAGCAATGTACCATTATAGTGGAAAGCAACATTAACAACATTGATTCTTGTGAAACATATTTGTAAGTAAATTAAGCAATTTTTCAAAATGAACAGATTCAAATTCTGCACCGATCTCTTCACGATTCCGTGGACAGACTGTAGACAAACAATTTTTTGTATAATATCACTTAGGAAAACAAACATTTACATCAATTTGAAATTGACGATTCTGAAAATTTAAAAAAAAAAAAACCCACTTTTAAATGTAAAGGATGTGACGACTAACACATGCAGAGAGCAAACATAACAAGAAAACTGAATGAAATATATGACTATGCTCATTTTATGCTTACACATTTTAATGCAAAGTACGTATTCCTTAGATTAAGTTATTATTACGAAATTATTTTCAAATTTTACATCGTTTAAACACGAACACAACACAACACATTTCTTCTATGCCTACAGTATATGCCTATATACAGAAAAGATGACATTATTAATCGGAAGGACGATATTCATGATATTAGGGACGTGAATCAGTTTACCTTCCTCAGTTAGTTCAGGAAATCTGTTGATTAATCTGAACAACTCTTTCATACTCTTACACACTGTGAGGCTGCTCATAATCGTTTTCACCATCTGACTGTATCTCAATGGGGACACTGCCATCATTTGGGTCCAAATATACATCACTTGAACTGTTGGATGAAGCGCTTGAGTAACTACAATAGTTGTCACTAGGCTCAGGAGAATGATCGCGGCAAATTGGTTGCTCTTTGGTGATGTTTGGATGAGACGTGGGGTTGCGTAATTTTGAAGAAGGGTTCACATGAACATCGTACAGAGGATAAGGATCTATACCAATATCACTTTCATTATCCTGGTATGCGGTGTCTACTTTTATGTGCTTCAATTGTGCAAGCTTAAAATGTCTGTAGATGGTGTATGAAATGAGACCGACTATACAAGCCATGATGACTAAGATCCCTAAGATACCAAAAAATGTCATTGTAATTATTTTCCATATTGCCGTGTGGCTTGATTGAGCTGATATGGGTAGCATAGGCATAGTTTTGTTAATTGGTAGGGTTGGAGTAGTTGGTGCCAGTCGAACATCTGTAATCCCCTTTGCTCTTTGTGGAGGGGAAGAAACTATATCCTCACTTGATTGCTGATTCGTGAAACATTCTGTTAGGTTAATTGAAGATGATATGTACGTACTGTTGCAAACATCTACCAAGCAATAAAGACCTTTTACGTGATTATCCAGGTGCAAATAAAAAAAAGTAACCTCTGACGTAAAAGATGACAGGCGTTGTTTCTGGAAGCTGTCATTCTCCCTTGTCAACTTGTTCTCATTAAGATACCAGTAAATCTGAACATCATCGTATCCTTTGAGATTATCTACCGTGCAACGAACCTTAACTCCTGTACTTCCAAAGTCTGTCATATTAGGCGTAAGCACTGCTATACTCAGTTTTATGTCACTTGGACAGACCAAGGGTGCTGTAATCATTTGTCTTAATGGTGTGGTCAGGTGACTCGACATATCTATAGGCAGTACCTTCACATGAGAAGAGCCAGTTGTTCGACCTATGGAGTTGGAAACTATGCATCGTACTTCGGCGGCAA